CTCTTGCTCAGGCTGGTCTTGAACTCCTGAGCTCAAACGATCCTCCTGCCTCAGCCTCCCAGAGTGCTAGGATTACAGGCGTGAGCCACCGCACCCAGCCAGAGTTTACATTTTAAACAAAGTTATTGGAGAAGGCTTCCACTAAGAAGGTCGTTAGTCAAACCCTGAAGGGTGTGAGGGAGCAAATCATAAGGTTATTTGAAACAAAGGCCCTGAGGTAGGAGCGAGCCTCTAGGGTTGGAAGGAGGAGATTTAGAGAGAAGTAGGAGAAGAAGTTAGAGACAGGACTAGGGAGTAAGGAGGGTAGGTCACCTTTGGCTTCTACCTCTGAGTAAGATGAGAAACTGCTGGGTTGTGAAGAGAGGGATGACACTGATCTGCTGTACATCCTAGCTACAGTCTAGAGAAGAGATTGTGCGGAGACAAGGCAGAAGCAGGGGACCAGCTATGAGACTACTACAATAATCTAAATGAGAAACAGCGCAGGTCTGCACTAGGCTGGCAGTGATAGAAAGTGTTGAGATGTGGTCATATTCTGGATTTATTTTGAAGGTATAGTCCATAGCCAACAGGATGTAGAGATGGACTCAATGAGGGATGTGACAGAAAGAGGAATCAAGCCTGATTCTGTGGTTTCCAGTTTAAGCAATCAGAATGGGATCTATCAGGAGCTCAACTTTGGACCTCAGTTTGAGATGCTTACTGAGACATCCAGAGAAACCCCTGAAAAGTGGACAGCAGATACATGAGCCTAGAGATTAGGCAAGCAGTTCAAGCTAGGGGGGTAAATTTGAAAGTCGTATGTAGAGAGATATACAGAGATATATGTAAAAGATACTTAACCTTGAGACTGGGCTCTAGTTCTACTAAGGCTGCATATGTTCATTACAATCTATCTCTTTCACTGATTGCAACTGAAACACTGGATAAATACAAAAAACAACTACCTGAGGGCTGTGAAAAGTAAACAAAAGCAGGGGATCACAGAGGGAGTTAAAACTTGGAGGAGCCACTGCATTAATGGTGAGTTCCCTCCGACTGTCTTTTTTTTAAGCTCTCTCTCTTAACAGCTTTGCCCCAAGGTTGAGCACAGCCCTATTACAAGCGTGACAGCAGGGACAGCAAAGGTAGCTAAAATTCTATTAGAAACCCCATCTTTCTAATCAAAGAAACCATGGAAAGAAATCCCTGCAGACTGGAGAGTAAGAGAAGAAGTGCACAGCTGAGAGAACCACAGATGAGGATCCCCTAATTGTGTGTATGGACCTGTACAAGTCTCAGGCTCATTCTTGAGCTAAAAAGGACCGGCTTAGAGAACTAAACACAGACTTTAACCACTACCCTCAGAAGGAAACAGAGACCTTGTTGTCAGAACAAATTGGCTTGAGTGCTTGCTAAAACAAAAACATCAACATTGTCCAGAGGATCTATGCAATATAACATTCACCTTGACCAGGATACAATCCAAAATTACTTAATATATAAAGAATCAGAAATTTACCAAATCTCAAGATTAAAAATAATTAATAGATGCAAAAGCTGAGAAAGCCTAGATTATGAATTATCAAAGACTTTAAAATAGCTATTAGAAAAAAAAAATAGCTATTAGAACTGCAAGGTAAAGAAAGACACACTAGAAAGGAACAAAAAGATACAAGTTTTCAGCAGAGAAATAGAAACTATAAAACAAACCAAATGGAAGTCTTAGAACTAAAAATACAATATTTGAAATAAAAAACTCACTAGAATGGTTCAAGAGCATAAAGAGGATGAAAGAGGAGTCATTGAATTTAAAGATATATCAATATAAATTACCTAATCTGAAAAACAGAGAGAAAAGAGATTAAAAAATGAACAGAGTTTCAGGGACCTGTGGGACAATATCAAAAGGTCTTGTAACATATGCATCATTGGAATCTCAGATGGAGGGGAGAAAACAATTGGGACAGAAAAAAACATTTAAAAAACTAATGGAGGCCGGGCGTGGTGGCTCACGCCTGTAATCCTAGCACTCTGGGAGGCCGAGGCGGGAGGATTGCTCGAGGTCAGGAGTTTGAGACCAACCTGAGCAAGAGTGAGACCCTGTCTCTACTAAAAATAGAAAAAATTAGCCAGGTGGCACATGCCTATAGTTCCAGCTACTCGGCAGGCTGAGGCAGGAGGATCACTTGAGCCCAAGAGTTTGAGGTTGCTGTGAGCTA